TCTTGATTATGAAATGCATTGTGTTCATTTTTGCTCAGCAGAATCATTTGTTTCACTGTTTTTGCTCAGGGGGAAAACTCACACTGGAGGACTTGGCATTGTATCAAGCTAATGTGACTGATGCGTGGAATATTTCTTTGGGAGAGTACCGGATGTACTTCCCTCCGCCCCCTGCAGGAGGAACCATACTCAGCCTCATCCTCAACATCATGAAAGGTTCCTGATTGTTGCTTCTAGCATGTAGAGTTTGTTTCATATAAGAAAATGATCCTTCTCAATCTTTACAAATGTGATACACTAAGAAATGATGTTTTAAATGAAATAAATAACAATTATTTATATTTTCAGGATACAAAATGGAATCAGAACCTAATACTACTGATGAAAAGATTTTGTTTTATCACCGTTATATTGAAGCTTTAAAATTTGCCAATGGATTAAAGAAACATATCAGAGATCCAAACTTCAGCTCAGATAAAGTAAGTATCTCAAAATCCTACAGATTTGCACCTGCTTTGTTGCATATAGTATGATTATATTTAAGTGACTAAATGGGTAAAAGGAGCAATACCACATGAGTCTCTGCTCTGCCTGAACCCACTGCTCCAACCTGTCTGCAGCTCATCCACAAACCACATCCCACCACAGTCTGTTTATGCACATTGATAATGAGTTGTGGTCTGAAGTGTTGTGTTTTTTGTTTTGTTTTTTGTAATATCTCTGAGCATTGCACAGTCGGACTTTGGGTTAATTTGCTGCGGTGAGATTGTGACTTTGTGTTAATGATCAGTTTATCAAGGGCATTTGCATATCACTACTTAACCTCTTCTATAAGCTCTTATAGAAGCACTGAGGATGTACTTATTATTTTACTGCATAGAGTACTCTGAAAAAATGCTTTGTGTCTCAGCCTTTCCCAGTAACTCTGCATTTTTATTTCAGCACAATTCTGAGCAGTGATGTAACTTTTAAAACCTATAAGTATAAATAAATGTTTTTAAAGCAGATAAACCTAAATTACTTTTATATTTGTCTCTAAGTATTTTAGTATGTATTATTATTCATATTATGATTATTGTTAATTTTGTGTAATTCCGATGCTCTGTATTTCACACAGATGGCAAAGAATTTGACAGAGGATAGCTTTGCCAACCACATACGGAGCTTGATCAGCAGCGACAAGACTCACGATCCCCAGTATTACGGCAAAAACTCGTATCTGGACAGCATCGGCACCACACATGTATCTGTGCTGGCTGAAGATGGATCTGCTGTGTCTGTCACCAGCAGCATCAATGATGAGTCAGTACCTGCATCATTCTGTTTCACTGTTAGAAACCAGCTGACTTTTCCACAACACAGTGTCACAGGGTTTAGACCTAGTTCATTTAATGTTTACTCTTTACAGATTTGGGTCCAATGTCCTCTCTTCAAGCACTGGAATCATCCTCAACAACCACCTAAATGACTTCTGTGGTAGAGCTGATAACATCTTTCATGGTAAGGGATCAGCAGGATTCCTTCTGAATTTAATATTTATTAACAAATATTCTGGACCTCAGTTCTGATTTGTATAGTGCTAATTTGCAATTTTAATTCATCTTCTAAACTAATGTGTTAAGCGTGGTTAATATAACATATACTTGATAAATATGCATGTTTGTACATATTAGCATGTCGCAACATAAGAAATTTGAAAGAAAATACAACAACACCTCAGGAAACTGCACACCATGAATTATTAATCTAATAGTACCAAAAAAAGCACCACTGAGGAAATTTGCGGAGAAAATGTCATTTCATAATTCATTGTGGCGCATCATGTTTTGTTGATCATGAAAACAATCAACAAAACTGCCAAACCAAAGCACATCAGGTAAATTTGAATTAAAATGGCATTTTTCATTTAATGTCATAGCCTGCTGAAATGTTTTGAATGTTTAAGAACAGGCACAGTTGAGCTCTGAGTGAACTTCTATAAACACAAATTACATAAACTCTCTAAATCTGTCCTCAGCTGGTCACAGCAGATGACTGCCCCTCTGTGAGCCTGTTGCTGTTGGAGGTTTCTTGCTGTTAAAAGGGAGTTTTTCCTTCACACCGTCACCAAGTACTTGCTCATGAGGGGCTCATCTTATTGTTGGGTTTTGTCTCCATTGAAGTGGGTTAAGCTTAGAGATGGGCCGATCTGATATTGCGTATCGGTATCGGGAAGTAAAGCAAGTGTGTAAGTTAACCTTTGAATGTTTGTAAAGCATTCCCACGTTAAGCTTAACAACTGATATATGGAGCGACTGCCTCTCATTCTCTCCCTCTCCTGTTGCTACTTCAATCATGAAGCTGATCAGTGATCATCTGATCGGCTTTCCTGCTGCAGGCCGACTCTCTTGTTTGTCTATCGCCCACTTTACACCAGAAAGAGGAAATAATAATCAG